TCCTACATATTAGATATTTCATTAACTTGGGGACACTTATGATCTTTTTAACTTTGATGAACACCCCCAAATTTTGGTTGAGTTAATTTTATAAATTGCATAAAATAAAATCATATCTAATGTTGATAATTTTTATGTAACACCTGTCATCACTAACCAGATGTTAGACTCAAAAGTTGCCCCAATAGAGGTTTTGAACAAGTCTAGGAATTTTAGGTCATATGTTATTTGTTGTAAATAAAGATATACAGCAAGATGTGTAAAGAAAACATTATATAAATTTAAAGAAAAAGAGGTACTCTTTTAAATTTAAATTCCTCATTTTAATAATGAATAAATATACAGAATTGTCTCTGAACTCAAAGAGGGCAACAGCCTTGACAATTTACACTAGTAATAGAGATGACACAATATAAACTCATAGAAATCACTAAACTTACATATACATAATCTTATGTCAAAAAAGACACCAGTCCTGGCTTAGGTCAAGGAGTTGGAAAGTGAATTGTAAACATCAAGCAAAAAAATGAATGAGTGTATCTAAAACCAGAATGAGAACACAATCAGCCCTTCCATATAGCTAGCTTAAATTTAGCTTTCAGGGAATACAGGTTGTCAAGATCTTCTAAGAAGTCACTAAGAGAGGCTCTTCATGAGTACTGAATAGTCAACAATATTCCTATAATCACCAAAATAAATGAACTCGTGGGTTTATATATTGTTATATACAGGTGCCTGCAGTGAGAGAGAGAGAGACAGAGAGGGGAGAGGGAGAGAGGGAGGGAGGAATGCAGAGAGTGAGGATGAGGTAAGGTGAGGGTGAGAAGGAGAGGGAGAAGGAGAGGGAGAAGTACATCTGAAATAATGCTGACTGGTATTAAATTTTCAACTCAGTTGAATGAATTACCAGATAGAGAATTTGCACATACATAAGACCATGGAAGAGAAGCAATAGATTCATCATATCCTAAGGCCAACTTCTCATAATCATGCTGTCAGACATAAATTCCACTTGACTTCTCAGAACAGTGGGCTCTAATCAGAAACAATGTAACACAAAACAATAAGTAGCAGAGTTATGCTGCAGGTATTAAATCTTATCACACCACTAGGGTGGTAATCTAAAGGTTAGTATCTGTTAACATGATTCAACAAAATTTCATTAGTCTGGGGTTCAAGAGCTCCCCCTTGTCCGGTCAGTTGTCTTTGTGGGTTTCACCAGCATGGTCTTGACCCCTTTGCTCACCACTCCTCCATCTCTGTCACTGGGTTCCACAACACAAGACTGATGGCTGAGAGGCCAGCATGAAAGTGATCCAGACTCTCTGAATGTAGTGTCAGAGAGGAGGCCTCAGCAATGTCTGGGTCTTTTAGTAGTAGATCAGTGTTTACCATGGTGTAAGAATGAACTTTGGGAGCCTATTCCACATGGAGGGATGCTCTCTCAGCCTGAACACATGGGGAAGGGCCTAGGTCCTGCCCTGCATGAAATGACAGATTCTGGAAATCCCCCTCACGGAGTGCCTCACTCTCCCTGGGGTATGGTGTGGTAATTGGGTGTAGGGTTGAGGGGGGCTGGTGGAAGGACAAGGGAGGAGGGGTAGGAGAATGGAGCTGTGATTGACATGTGAAGCAAGCGTGTTTCTAATTTAAATAAAAACATATAAAAATGTAAAAAAATTCATCAGTTAGCTCTAGACACACCAGTATAATAGCTCTTTTACTTTCAAAATCTATGTTAAAATGCAGTGTCCATTGTTCAGTCAAAACACTTTTATCATGTATAACATACTTACTTTATTAAAATGGCTACAGATTGCAGTTTTATGACACACTAACTTATGGTTTCTTAAACTATGGTCTGTACTTTGGTACTGTAGTAGACTTTATGACTTGCTTTGATTTTACATTTTGACTTTACACTTACATCTTCCTACTTCAGACATTCAGTGATGGAACCAGGAAAAAGAGATGGGGAGAAAAGGAGTGGAGTGGAGGACATGAGGAGCAGGAAGTTTGAGTCAGGGGAAGAATAGAGGAGAGCAGGATGAGGGATACCATAATAGAGGGAGTCATTATAGGTTTGAGGAGAGATCAGGTACTAGTGAGATTTCCAGAGATCTACATGGATGACACCAATTGGTAAACTAAACAGTAGTGGAGAGACTACCTTAAATGCCCTTCCCTTATAATGAGTTTGACAACTACCTCATATGCCACCCTAGAACATTCATCCAGTGACTGATGGAAGTAGAGACAGATATCCACAGCTAAATACTAAATTGAACTCCTGGAACCTAGTGGCAGAGAGGGAGGAGTGATGACCATAGTTTTCAAAATTTGCCTGGTGAAGCCCACAGAAATAGCTGACCTGAAAACGTGGAGTTCATGGACACCAGGCGGATGGATGGGAGGCCAGCATGGGACATATCCAGACCCCCTGAATTTAGGTGTAAGTGAGTAGGCCTAGGCAATCTATGGGGCATTGGGTAATAGATCAGTATTTGATCCTGGCATACAAATGAACTTTGGGTGCACCTTCCACAATGAGGGATGGTCTCTCAGCCGGGACTCCTGGGGGAGGGCCTAGGCCCTGACTTAAACAAAATAAGAGACTCTAGAGATCCCCCATGGAGGGCCTCACAATCCCTCAGGAACAGAGTTGGGATTGGGTGGGAGACTGGGGAGGGAACTGGTGGGGGGTAGAGGAGGAGGGGAGGGAGTGGGAACTGGGATTGACATGTGAACAAGTTGCTTTCTAACTTAAATAAAAATAGTTAAAAAAGAATCCATGTTTCTCAATATAGGAAAAAGCTACTTTGTTCAAAATCAAGTTTAAGTTTTTATATAAATACTTCTGTTTAATAAACATTTTTTAAAATCTAAAAAATGTCTTTTATCATTTATAACATACTTCATTATCACGCCACAGATTGTGGTTTTTTTTTCAGGAAAGAAGTTCTATTTCCAACCCCTAGCAAAGCATTAAAAATAATAAAGATAGAAACCCAAATCAAACCCTAAAACAAACGGAAATGGGGTGGCCGAGGGCAACCGGGCAGGCAGGGACACAGAGATTCATTCCAGTTGGGTACTTCACCTATCAGCCTGGGTCTGTATATTCATGAGAATATTCCAGGAAAGGGAGTTGGGAATCAGAGACGTCCAGCCCCACCTCCCCATGTGGCCCTGGCTGGAAGAGAAGACAGCAACACTGAAGGCAAGGACCATACCAAGTTTGACCTTGGTGTCTGTTGCCTGCTCTGACTCCCCAGTAGGGCATATAAGTTACCCTGTATGGATCAGGGGGTGAGGTAGGGGATCCTGCAAGCAAACCAGTCAGCCTCTGAAAGACCGGGTGGGTCCACACTGTGTGAGGCAGAGTTAGAGAAGAACACTCAGGCTTCGACCTCTGTCTCTGCTCTCTGGCTGGGCGTCCAGCTGTGGCTCCTCTCCCCCGGGGTGCAGGGGCCCTGGCTTGTACAGGTTGGACTGCTTGTTGCTGTTGGTACTCCTCTTGCTGAAGCTGCTGGGCAAGTTCCAGGTCGCTAAGGCCCAGCATGCCTTGTGGCTGCTGCTGCTGCTACAGGGACAAGGCAATAAGATAGTCCTGATCCACCTGCAGCAGCTTCTCTGGAGAGCTGCCCCCACCTTCTGCTCCCTGGTGTTTGCCTAGGGAATGACTTAGGTGGAAGTCAGAGTCGCAGAAGCAAGTGTCGTCATCCACATTATGCAGGCTCTCCCACACCACCTGTTCCTCCTGTAGACAACCCTGGTCAGTGACCAGCAGGTACAAGTGACTCTTGTGCTTAGTCATCGTGCTAAAGTGGTTGTTTCAGAAAAAGACACCGAGTTCATCTTCCTTAGCAGTCGCTGTAAGCTCACCCAGGCCATGATAGGTCAGCTGTGCCGCAGTGGTCTCCAGGAACTGCTCGGCAATCAAGCCTTCTGTCACGAGGTTGGGGTCACTTGAGTGTTTACAGGTGATGGTTTTCTCTACCAGTTGGTTGTAACTGAGTTTCCCAACAGCACTCACAGCCTCAGGACTCTGTGGATCACCAAGCCAGCCATGGTACAGAGGTATGCCCAGCAAGTCAAAGATGCTACATTCCGGTGTGTACTCAAAGTCAGAGACACCTGTGAATCGCACGTGGACATCCAGGCCTGTGGCCAGTTTAGGGAGCACTGTCATTGCATCATCCACATTCTGCTGAAAGTTAAGTTGAAGGTCTTCAGACTTCTCCTGGGGCTTGATGGATAGGAGGCAGTTGCCAAGATGTGTCAATAGCTCATCTGATGTGATCATTTCCTTCTGAGGGGGCAGCTTCACCTTCCACTGAAGAAAGAGGATGTTCATGATGGCCAGGAGAGGACAAGGGCCGTTGGTGCTCTGGGTGATGATGGGGTTCCGTTCTCCCTTCCAGGGGACCCACTTGACACAGTAGAGATCCAGATCAGGCCGTTGGCTCCTGGGGGAGATTTTCCGCATCTGCATCCTGGCCTGGTGTCAGAGCTTGGTCTCCTGGCTCCTGTTCTCCAGCTGTCCCATCAGCCTCTGCACCGCCCCTGTCCTGAGGGTTGTCCTGTAGGTGATTTTCTGGTCTGGATTCAACAGTTTCTATACTACCGGCCTTACTGGGGGTGCTGGAGGCTCCGCCTGGCGTTGTTCCATGGTGAGGTTAGAGTGGGCTGAGGGGGATGAAGATGGCCCCTTGACCTCCTGGACCTTTCCTAGGTGACTCTGATAGGTAGAAGAGAGACCTGGCCAATAAGGTCATAGAGTTACAGAGCAAAGGGCAAGAAAAGTCTGGAAGTGAGGAGGGCGGAGGCCACTCTGGCTCCAGTTTCAGCTGTTCTTGGCATGTGAAAACAGAAGTCTGCAGCTCATTCTACCTCTAGCTTGCTGGGACCAGATGGGATTGCCAGGACTTGAGCAGGGATGGAAGACACCAAGTAGAACTGGCTTCCTTTAAAGCGATGGATGCGGTTCAGGGAGTGGGCTAGGACTCAGTTCTGGCGGTTCGACGCAGGAGGAGGGGACATCGTCGAGGGGGGCCACCTGCACCAGCTGCCTCCCGGCTGTCAGCTGACACGGGTTTACTCGCCCGGCGTCCAGCCTGGGTCAGGGCCACTTCCGGACTCATGCCGGGCACCCGGGACGCCGGAGGAGGGCGGGGGCGTCGCCCCAGGCCCTGCCCACAGACTGGTTCTCAGAGGAAGTTTGCGGGTTTTCCTTTTCTTCTTTCCCCCTCTCTCTTCCCTCCCTTGGGACAAAGCCGCCTGAGCCGAGGTCCCCGGAGGAGGAGGGGGCTGCTCAGCCGCGGAGGGTTTCCATCGGGGCTGTCAGGCCGGCAGGAAGGAACCAAGGGAAACAACCGACCCTTCTCGTTCCCCGCCTACCGCGGGAGGGGACAGACAGGGCGCGCGAGCCTCTCTGGTGCAGATTGTGGTTTTATGACACACTATCTTACGGTTTACTAAAATATGTTCTGTACTTTGATACTGTGATAGACTTTATAACTTGCTTTGCATTTTGCTTTTACTCTTAATTTCTCCACCACGTATTTGCTCATCATAGTGGTGCCTGCCCTGACCCAGGTCCAGCTCCCTCCTTTGCTTGAGTTCTGAATTTTTTTTTTTATTTTTGTCTGATTAAGGTGAGGGTTTATTTCATACCATAGTTCTTTGTACACTACTGAAGAAAAGTAGGTCAGGAGCTAAAGGCAGGAATCAGGAGGCAGGACTGAGGCAGATACCATGGATAAACTCTGTTCACTAGATTGTTTCTTACAGCCAGCTCAGCCTTTTTCATTTTGTTATGCCTTTTATTTTTAAGATTGTAATATAATTCCATAATTTCCCCTTCCATTTCCTCCCTCCAAAGAAGATGGTACTTTATCAAGTAATCAGTGAATGTTCAGAAAGTGGTTCATAAATTAGAATGATGTTGAAATTTTGCTTATGTAGTACATTTTCAATGAGTTCTACTCATTTTTCATCTTCTTTCCCATTTTTATAAACTTTTGATAAATGAATAAGCAGGATTTTATGACAAGGAAAGCTATGGCTGACACACAGGCCAGTAGGAAACCAATCACATCCAGAGAGTAGTACTGGTACCAGGTGAGGTTGTATGCAAGAGGCTTCAGATGCTTGGCTCCTTTGTGGCGCATGACAAACTCAATCCAGAAGACGGCTCTGTCCAGAGGCTTCATGGGCTGGTCATTGTGAATAGTTGATAACCACATAGCATTCTCTTTATAGCTGAAAGAGGTAATATGGACATCAGCGTATGTAATGAATAAAAAAATCAGATGTGTAATTTTTGTGTGAAAAGTAAAGAAAATTGCATAAACCAAAGGAAAATAAGTTATGTTCGAAATTCATGACATTTCACTTTACTTCACTTATTGGCTATTTAAGTTTTGTATTATCCTTAAAACTCTGATCAGTTACTTTACTAAAAGAATTGAAAAGAAAAATTGGTGAGAGCTGGTGGCATATGCCTGTTGGCCAAGCAGTTTGGAGGATGAAGTAGAAGGGTTGAACATTGAGGACCTGTCTGATTTACATAAGAATGTAACATAAAGTGTAACATGCAAATAAGAACAATAACACAAAGAGAGACAAATTTATGACACTGAATCATGCCCTAATCTGTCTCTGTACCTACAATTACTTTTGCCTTCTGGATAATTCTTGCTCTGTTGACCTTAAGTAAGCAGCATGATGATTAATAGATAAATAAATAATGAATACACATTTTTTAGAAGATTATACTCACAAAGGATTGTCTATGACTGCCTCCAGTGCACTGAGCAAATCTGACCTTGTCAGTGTTCTGAAATTTAATGCAACAGCTGCTCCTTTGGCCACCATGTAGGCAATGTTATCATGTTGTTCTCCAAACAAAGGAATGCCAATCATAGGGATTCCAAAATGAATTGCCTCATAGATGCCATTAGCTCCACCATGAGTTACAAAGGCTTTGGTTTTTGGATGACCTAGAATAAGATGAATTTAGATTAATATTAATTAGCAGTCCTTTTTTAAACCTTCATATTTCCTTTAAATTAGAACAAAGTTTGTTTTACATGTCAATCCCAGTTCCCCTTCCCTCCATTCCTTCCCTGCCCCCCTCACTAACTCCCTATCCTATCCCATTTCTACTCCCCATGGAGGGTTAGGTCTGTCATGGGAGATCTTCAAAGTCTGTCGTACAATTTGGAGCAGGGCCTAGACCCTGCCCTAGGTGTCTAGTCTAAGAGAGGATCCTTCTATGTGGAATGGGCTCCCAAAGCCCAATCGTATATTAGAGATAAATGCTGATCCACTACCAGAGACCCCATAACAGTCTTAGACATGAAATGAGAAATGTGTATGATGAGGAACTGAAAGTGTATATTTTCTACATGAAGATTCTATTGTTAATAATTGGATTTATTAATTTAGTTTACATCGTGTCTGCAGTTTGCCTTCTCTTCTCACCACAAGAAAACCTGCATGAAGATTCTGGTACTCATAACCTCAGTATTAATGCTTCCCTTTGTCAGAGCAAGAAGAAACTAAATGTGCAGACAGATATCTTGAAATTTTTCTTTTAACTTGAGACATACACTATCAAATACTGATTACCAGTTGAACACATAGAATATATGGTAGATAACAGAAAATTAATGTTAAAAAAGACCAAGTACATATCAGAAATTGTTATCTTAAATAAATAATCCATTCACTAAGTGTAATATAAAGGATTTTGAAGTCAACTAGAATAGGTTTGCTTTCTAGAGTCTTACCTAGAATATCATTCTGGGGGAGCCATTTGTAGACTCTGGTATTGGGTCCTAAGGTGTCTGGTGTTTTGCCATCAAATCTCCAAAGAACCTGTTAAAGATTAAATAATCTTTATTGCTGGAGTCCAGTTTAACATTATAAAGGCTGAACAGGTTATATTTAGGAACTTAAATGTATATTCATATATGTATAAAACATTAATGAAAAAATAGATGCTATGAATTTGGATGACAGCATGATATGAGGAGACTTTGGGGGAGAAAGGAAAGGAAAGGAGTGACACGTGACAAATAATTTATATTTTATATTATTATATATTGATAGCTATATTAGTTAGTTTTAATACTATGTTTTAAATACTTACAGTTTACTTTTATTCTCTTCTCCTATGCTATTCTTAATGAATTTTAACTTTTTGTCTTTATTTATTCATGATAAACATTCCAGATCAACAATTCTCTCTGGTTTGGAGTTCTTTGAAGCAATGCCTTAATGATGGCCAATGGGAATTTGGAGTTTGTCATCTGACCCATCCCAGGATTAACCTTGCAGAGTATAGTTTTTGAGCATAGTGCAGGAATGGAGTCATATAAGGAGAATTCTTAGTGTTTGAGAGAGCACTCTAAGAAAACAGGACAAGAGTCTTGTGACCTAAATTTCTTCAAAACACATCATTTTTCTTGGAATATATTTTCATCTTCCAGGTGTAGCACATAGGGGTGTGTCTATTCCAGGTTAACCACTGCTGCTTGCTGTTTTTTATCCAGATAATGTTTAAACTGTCCGTTGTGTGCCTGTGTTGGCTGGAAAAAAATGTCCTCTTAAAAGAGTGGCACTATTGGGAGGTGTGGCCATGTTGGAGGAAGTGTGCTTGTGTGGGGACAGGCTTTGAGGTGTCTTCTGCTCAAGCTTCCCTCTGTGTGCCATTCAGTAGACTTCCTGTTGCCTGAAACTCTCAGATCCAGCATCACATTTGCTTGCATGCTGCGTCAGTCCCCTTCATGATGGTAATGGACTGAACATCCTGAAACTGTAAGTGAGCCACCACAAATAAATGCTTTCTTTATAAGAGTTGCCATGGGATGATCTCTCTTCACAGCAATAAAAACCTAACTCAGATTGACTCTATAGAAAAACATGTTTTTGTTTGTTTGTTTTCTTTGTTTGTCATGCATGGCTCATCCTTTGTATATGGCTTTAATTCATTTGATCTTTACTTGTATGTTCCTTTCTAACCCTGTGAGTATACATTCCTGGTTGTCTGATGAAGTTGGCTATTACATGAGACTTTAGTCTGCCTCATTTATTGGTTCCATTCTCCCAAGGCTCACGTTCTCTGGAGCTGTGACAAGTCGTTCCTGTGTAGATGGCTGAAGTTGGCTACATGATCAGAGAGTGGGGATACTCACAGAAGGTGTTTTATAATAATGGGGCAGAAGCCAGGGAAGACTGCTTTATGTCAAGGCTGGTACATCCTTTTTCTTCTTAAAGAAAGGAGGACAATTATCAAAGTCACAACTGTTAGACTGCATACAAATGTCTTGTGATCATAATCCCTAGTTTCGAGAAGAAGGCACTTTAGACGAAGTATTGGACAGAGTCTGAATGAATATTGAAAAGGCATATAAATAAGAGGAGGACATCCCCCTTCAATTATGTATCATTTGGGCATTGATTTGGAATATTAACAAAATATGTAAGGAAGATCCAAAGATTACTATTCATGAGGAAAAATGTCTAATCCTTGCATGTATATAAATTAGATCATCACATCTTAAAATGGGTAAAATAGGCAAATAAAGGGAAAGAGAGACATTTCCAGTATAGGTAAAATCAAAAAGTAAATTTGGTTTTGTCAAGAAATTTGCAGGCAAATGCATGACACTAGACACTGGAGGAAACCATCCTATGTGAGGTAACTCATAGACAAACATGGTATGTACTTATTCATATATGGATTTCAGACATGGATCAAGGGAGTGACAGCCTACAATCCCATTGCCAGTGAGTCTGGGAAACAGTGAAGTTCCCAAGAGAGATATACATGAGTCCCCTAGAAAGGGAATGAGGCAAGATCTCATGAGCAGGTTGGAAGCATAGTAGGAGGGGAGAGTGAACTGGGAAAAAGAGAGGCTGGGAAGAAGAGAGGAGAGAAAGACATGGGGGAGCAGGAAGGTTGAGTCAGGAGATGAATATAGGAGAGCAGGTGGACAGATACCATAATACAGAGAGTCATTATAGGTTTGAGGAGAGAGCTGATACTAGTGAGATTTCCCAGATCTACAAGGATGACTCCAGCTGGCCAACTAAGCAATAGTGGAGAGACTAACTTAATAGCCCTTCCCAGATATTGAGATTGAGGACTATCTTATCTGCCATCCTAGAACCTTCATCCAGTGACTGATGGAAGCAGAGGCAGACACCCACAGCTAAACATAGAACTCCTGGAACCCAGTAACAGAGAGGAAAGAGTGATGAGAAAAGAGGTCAAGACCATGCTGGTGAAATGCAGAGACAGCTGACCTGACAAGGGGGAACTCTTGGACCCCAGACAGATGGCTAAGAGACCAGCAGAGGACTGATCCAGACCCCTGAATGTGGTGTCAGTTAGGAGGCCTTGGCAATCTCTGGGGCCTTGGGTAGTAGATCAATATTTACCATGGCTTATGAATGAACTTTGGGAGCCCATTCCACAAGGAGGGATGCTCTCTCAGCCTGGACACTTGGGGAGGACCTAGTTCCTGCCCTGGATAAAATGTCAGACTCTGGAGATGCCCCATGGAGAGCTTCACCCTCCCTGGGGAATGGTGTGGGGTTGGGGGCAGGGCTAGGGGCTTGTGGAGGGGCAAGGGAGGACGGTTGGAAGAGGGAGCTGGGATTGATATGTGAAGCAAGCATGTTTCTAATTTAAATAAAAAATATTCTGGAAAAAAGCAAAAACAAAACACAAGCCAAAATCAAAAGTAAAAACAGCATCCTGAGCAACTATGCAGGTGAGGGCTGCCCCAGCTGTTACTGGTAACTTCATTAGATATGTTTTCTGTATTGCATAAAGACAATCCTGAAGCATGGTTTAAGGAATCTGATAATAAATCTAAACTTGAGTTCTCTGTACTTAATGATGAGGATTCAGGAGAGCCTACAAAAAAGCTAACTTTACAACCTAGACAAGCTAAGGCATGGCAGGGAAAAGGAATTTACTCACCAATTCCTCCCTGGCATCTTGAAGTGAGCTTACTATTTCCAGTGAAATTTCAATCTTCAGGCCCTCACCCAAATCCTTGAAGAGTTTTGTAGCTCGGGCACTACATGCCATGAATTTGTTTCTAAATTTGCTAAGACTAATTTGAGCTTATTTAAAACTTTACCTGTCACACAGTCATTTCTATAATCAAACATTTTAAGCACTTTAACAGACTTACTATACAGTCACCTCCCATGGAGCCCTTTATCTCACATTTTGTGGAATCTGTGCAAGGGCCCATGCAATAGTGTTGGCTTCTTCTTCTGTCATGTTGCTGACCATTGACCCCAGAGAAAACACCACAACACCATGCTCTCCAGAACTCTGGACAAAGTCTTCCATTTCCTGTGAAGAGAATTTGCTTCATGACAAAAATGCCAATTATTGAAAAATCACTTATCATACCTTAATGAAAAAACTAGGAGACTAGAAAATAAAGTGTTCCTAGGAATTTTTAGAACAGTGATATTAAAACATACAGAAGACAAAAATGGCAATGTCAAAGACTTTGAACTTCACAGGCATCACTACAGTGTGCACTCATACATTATGCAGCAAACATTCCAAATATTTCCCTTCAGCAAAATTAAAACTCAGGAGTGAAGCATATAATATGAAATATTCATAAAATTGAAGCTTCATTTACATGTTTTCATTCTACAGCAAAGGTAATACTTTTTCCCTTGCTATCTTATTTTTCTCCTATTATATCTGATTTAATATTACTAATTAGTATTTGATGAAATAATATCTATATTGTAGTGTGTACATATGTAGTAGTTAACACAAACTTCCTACTATGATTATCTATCTTGTAGTGTGTACATATGTAGTAGTTAACACAAATTTCCTACTATGATTAATAAAATGCTTTGGTTCTTTGTGAAATAATCATAACTGCATGGCAAACATATGCCATACAATAATTTTCTGACCTTGTATATAAATAAGGTATTTTCAGAGATGACCTCCACAACTTACGGGTTGGAGAGAAACTATATCCGTGTTGTTTCTCTGGATGACAAACAATTACCTCAGATACATGTTAGTCTTAGCTTTTGATGATCTATAGTTTCTGAAGTGTTGAGTTTAACTGATTTAATATCTTTGTCTTTTGTGCTTGTGTTTATATGTGTGCATGCATGTGTGCACATGTGTGTTTGTGTATGTGTGTGAACATGTGCATGTGTGCTTATGTGAGTATACTTATGTTTGTGTGTGCATGTGTATATACATGCATATGTATGGGGTAGGTGTGTGTTTATCTGTGTGTAATTCATGAGCGTGTGTGTGTGTGTGTGTGTGTGTGTGTGTGTGTGTGTGTGTGTGTGTTTGTACTGGGGTCCTGGTGAGGTTCTCTACCTTTGTTTTAGCACCCAGATGCTGAAAGTCAAAATCTGATGCCTTCCTCCATCAATCTTCAACATAGTTTTTGAGACTCTCACACTGAATACAACACTCAAAATTTTTAACAGATTAGTGGCCAGCAGCCTCGCACTATCAACTCTTTTCTGTATCCTCAATAATAATGTCATAGCATTGTGTTAGGACACCCAATTTTTTCTTGTTTGTTGGGATTCAAAATTACTTCCTCATTGTTGCTCGGTAAGGACTTTATCCAATGACTAACTTCGCAAGTACCCTAACTGACTTAATTTAACTCACTGATATGAATATTTTCCAGGTCTGTCCCATTCATTCCTGAGTTTATTGACCGCCTAGTTAGAGATGCTGAATCCCACATCCATTGTATCACTATCACTGGTAGAAAAAGTATTGAAAGATGTAGAATCTCTTTAACCAGAAATTATATTAAGTGGAAAAGAGATTTTAAAAATGTATTTACCTTAGGCAAGGGTTTAGCAGGTCTGCAGTGGAGTCCTCCTACATAGTCAACATTTGGTAAGGTTGGGCGAGGAAACTCCAAATCCCAGTAGGAGCGAATGAGCCACATTTCTGCTTTGCCTGATGTCTCAGCTAAGGTCGTGTGCCTTCCTATATGGAGAAAACGGGCAAATGAGAAACCAAAAAGTTGACAGGATTGTCTTCTGACTATAAAATATATATTTTCTTTAAAAGGATTGAAGAAATTATGTTCGATGTAGAGCATGCACATTTAAAACCAATGTTCATTGATATATAACATAATTTGCATGTGCAATTGAATTGTGGCTCACATAATATACATAAATGTCAGCTTCGGTTTATTTTTAAAGCAAACAGTAAGATTTGCCTCATGTTTCCTCAGTAATTTGAGATAATTAAGAGTTGTTGAAATGACACACTAATTCACTATATGATGAGCACCCATTTGACTCCTCTTCAATTCTACAGAAGGAACAGTGCAAATATAAATGCACATTGCAGGTTCAAAAGACACACCATGCTGTGTAGCCTGGCGAGACTTCCCCAGGATCATTGTAGTTTGTAGCTAATCCTTCCTCCTTGTTTTTTCAAAGGAGATGTATAGCTTATGAACGGTTGAATTTCTGGTTAGGGCTTCTATTTTTGTTTCATATTAAGAAATTTATTAGCACTTATCCTATAAAACAACCACAATATTTTCAGAAATTATGATAATACAATTATTTGGCCAGTCTTAACTATGGCATATTTTTAAGTGAAAAAAGAAGTTTCCAAATGAATAAACTGAGTGCATGTGTACCAAAGCTTCTGTAGTGTTTAAACAATGGATGATAGGAAATACACAATAAAGGAATGTGTTAGTAGCAACAGCAGTTCCATGTTTAAGCCTGTGAACTAACATAGTATCTTTCAAGCGTAAGGGAATTCTTTACGAAATACAGAGGAAACACATTATGATTTAGCTTTTTGTTTATGTGTGTGTCTGTGTGAGTACATGCTAGTTTATTCTGGTGCCCACAGAGACCATGAAAGGGGAGCAGCCCCCCTAAAACTGAAGACACAGGCAAATTTGAGCCACCACACCTGGGAGGGTGCTACTAAGACAACCCGTGCACTCCACATGAACAGAATACACTCTACATTTTGAACGTTTTCAGACTCCACATTTTAATTTTAAGAAAAGAAAGTGGCCTATGCAGGGGAAAACAATTTCTTCAATGTTATATATTGTAAAATATACCATCTTTTAATCTATTTTAACCAAGATTTGATTAACAAGTTAGTGATTTATTAAAATATATGAAAATTACAGTAAAATAAGGAAAGAATCACTTTCAGAAAGTCTTCTTGCATCTCTATGCAACTATATACCTCACCAGAGTGTCCTGTATTAGAACTGTTCTGCTTCTATTTGATTAATAGTATGAGCTTTTACAGGGTTTGTGAGTTTGCTAGCTAATGTTACAATAGTTCACCTCTAAAAGACAAACCTCACTATGTACTTCATGGATTTAAGGATAGATTTAAATACTTGTGAAATTTTGGTCACTGAACTACAGATAAGAAACATAACTTACCCAAAGTTTCACTGTAAAACTGATCCCATTTCTTCTCATTAAGTGACTGGAACCAAAAGTCAAAATAAAGCATACATATCATATTTCTTACCCTCTCCATGAATGTCATTTGGCCCCCTAATCCTGACAAAATTATAGGTACATAAGAGGGAGGGACTATAAATCCTCCACTGTTCTTTTCCATTGTATAGCCAGGAGTAAAGCGAAGAGTGTACAGAAAAGGGATCTGGAGCAGTTCAGCTATCAGCTCCCCACAGGGAACAATGGCATCCGAGACAAGGACATCAAACTTGGATTTCTGTAGTTTTGTCATCAGCTGTTTGTTTGAAACTGTGTCTTTACAAAGAATTAGATAACTGTCATAAATTTCCTGAAATAAATTTTCTAGCAACGGCGAGTATGACAAACATGTATCTCTTGGCATCTCATAAGTCCATACATTCACAAACCTCATGATAGTCTTATCCAGATCATCTTTACTGAGAGATGTAGGAAAACTCTCAAACTTTAGGTCAGGTGACTTTTCAGGATCAAGAAATATGGAAGCTGAAGGTCTCAGAACAGTCACTTCATGACCTCTCTCTGTAAGTTCACCCAGTATTATCTTTAGATTCAGCCAGTGACTGTATTCTATTGGCCACACCAACACCTTCCCACAATTCCCAGATCTGAAGTAGCAAGTCATCTGCAACAGGAGCAGCAGAAGAGACATCCACTTCACAGGCATCCTGGAAAATCAAAGTCCTCTCTTCACAGTGTGTTCCCTACTGTGGGTGCTAATCATTATATCGAACAAGAAAAAGGGCCATGAGTTAATATCTAACCTGAGTTGGTCAAAGCAAATATACTAAGTGACCACATTGAGCTTGTGAGATGAATAGAGATAGTAAAAGCAAATATCAATTATTTCATATTTGCATACAGGTGTTTAATGTCATATAATTTGTAATGAAACAAACTTAGGAGTCAATGAACTCTTTATATATCTCTTCTATTTCTAAGATATTTAGCTAGAAGTTAGTCTGAAATTTCTTCTCAACAACTAAAATGATTATCATTTTCAAGAATTTTTGCAAGAACGTTGATTAACATATTCACTTATACATGATTTCTAAAATAGCTTGACAGTGTGCCTCACTTACTTGACTGAAAGAAGCTGTGGGAAGCAGACAGACAAGAGCCTGCTCCTACACATGTCCCTAGGGAAACAATTGAACACACAGACCTGAATAATATCATTAGCTAAGGCAGCCAGTTGGTTCAACTAATTTGTCCACTGGTCTTTCATAAGCCCAAGAAATAGCTGAATAGTTTGTTATCATAATCTTAGTCCCGAAGGCCCAGGGAAGTAGAGGAGTACATGCATCTATGTATCCTCCTCTCATGGAAAAAACCACCACCACCATTCCTGAGGTCATCAGTCTCTTTAAGATTGCCCATGAAGGACATACAATCTGTCTATGTCTTCTTGTATGTCCTGAAATTTTGCCAAAGCTATAAATTGTCAAACCATTCCAGGAGGCATCATCCAGAGAAATTCTTTGATTTCAAAAGGCAGTTCCTCATCACCTTTAACAAGTCCTTCACCAAAAGAAAATTGTAGTATTATAAATGCATATTGTCCCATGATTTGAGTTCTAATATCTATCAGTGCTAGCAAGGTCTATAGAATTTTATGTGATAGGAATATGTTGCAAAGACACCGCCACATCATGGAGAACTGAGATTCTTTCTAGAAATTCCCTTATAGATATATACATATATATCATTCAGTTGTGCTTTTGCAAAGTAGCATAGCAATGAGAAAACCATCAATTCACAAAAATGAATAATAAAAATGAAGAAAAGAATGTTAGATACTCAAACAATAAAGAATTAATGAAAGGACAGTATGATTTTTTACAAAGCAAAGTTGGAGCTTATTGAAAATAGCAAGGTACACATGAGTATGTGGGTGTGGACTTCTCAAGAGAAAATCACAACTAAGTGTCTTAGCCATAGCCATATGCCATTTTGGTGTCTCTACAGTTACATCTCAAATGGTTTACTAAGAACTTTTTCTTTTTGTTTTTTTATTATTTATTTTTAAATTTAAATTAGAAACAAGGTTGCTTCACAAGTCAGTTCCAGGTCCATCTCCTTTCATCACATCCTCTCCAGCATAAATTGTCCTTGGTGCTTTTGATTTTACCCATTATGACAGGAGTGAGATGGTATCTCAGAGTTGTTTTGATTTGCATTTCCTGGATGGCTAAGGATGTTGAGCACTTTCTCAAGTGCCTCTCAGCCATTTTAGACTCCTCTATTGAAAATTCTCTATTTTGTTATGCAGCCCACTTTTTAATTGGATCCTTTGGTGTTTTGGAGACATGCTTCTTGAGTTCTTTGTAAACTTTGGAGATCAGCCATCTGTCAGATGTGGGGTTAGTGAATATTTTTCCCATTCTGTGGGCTGCATTTTCATCTTGTTGACTGTGTCCTTTGCCTTACATAAGCTTCTCAGTTTCAGGAGGTCCCATTTATTAATTGTTGATCTCACACTCTGTGTTATGTTCAGGAAGCTGTCTCCTATACCCATTTGTTCAAGGGTACCACCCACTTTTTCTCCTAAGAGGTTCAGTGTGGCTGGATTAATGTTGTGGTGATTGATCCATTTGTACTAAGTTTTGTGCATGGCGGTAAACATGGATAGGACAGTATGATTTATTTCATGATAAATAACATGATTGGAGGTTAAGAATAAATGGAGTTCTATTTTCATATATATGTATATATATATATTATTTTTAAATTTAAATTAGAAACAAGATTGCTTCACATGTCAACTCCAGGTCCCCCTCCCTTTCCCTCTCCTCCTCCTGCTTCCTCCCACCAACCCCCCAATATACACTCATTTTCCCATTGAGTGTGAGGCCCTCAATGGGGGTGTCCATAGTCTGACATTTCAACCAGGGCAGGGCCTAGACCCTCCCCCAAGAGTTCAGGGTGAAAGTGCATCTCTCCGTGTTGGATAGGAGTCCAAAGTATACTTGTATACGTGGGATAAATATTTATCTACTACTCAAGGCTCAATACATTACCTAGGCTTCCTCACTGACACCAATATTCATGGGGTCTTGATCAGTCCCATGCTGGATTCCGAGGCATCAGTCTGGGATTCAAGAGCTAACCCTTGTCAGGCAAGCTACTTCTGGGGGTTAAACCAGCCAGTCTTAATCCCTTTAGTTATCAGTCCTCCCTCTCTGTCCCTGGATTTCTTGAGTTCAGCTCAGTACTTAGCCGTGGGAGTCTGCCTCTGCTTCCATCAGCCAGAATGAAGGTTCTGTTTCCCAGAATCTCTGGTCATGGGATTGTAGGCTGGCACACCACAAATATAGGTCTAAAATCCATATATAACAGAGTACATGCCAAGTTTCTCTTTTTGTGACTGGGTTACCTTGCTCAGGATGGTTTCTTCTAGTTCCATCCATTTGCCTGAAAACCTCAGGATCCCATTGTTTTTTTCCTGCTGAATAGTACTCCACTGTGTAAATGTACCACATTTTCTCTAACCACTCTACAGTTGAGGGTCATCTAGGTTGCTTCCAAATTCTGGCTATTACAAATAACACTGCTATGAACATAGTGGAACAGACATCCTTGTTGTATGAATGGGCATCTTTTGGATATATGCCTAAGAGTGGAGTTGGTGGGTCTTCTGGCAGGTTTATTCCCATTTTCTGAGGAATCTCCATACTGATTTCCAAACTGGCCGAACAAGTTGGCACACCCACCAGCAATGGAGGAGTGGTCCCCTTTCACCACATCCTCTCCAGCATAAAATGTCCTTGGTGCTTTTGGTTTTACCCATTATGACAGGATTGAGATGGTATCTCAGAGTTGTTTTGATTTGTATTTCCCAGATAGCTAAGGATGTTGAGCACTTTCTCAAGTGCCTCTCAGCCATTTTAGACTCCACTATTGAAAATTCTCTATTTAGTTCTGTAGCCCACTTTTTAATTGGATCCTTTGGTGTTTTGGAGACATGCTTCTTGAGTTCTTTGTAAACTTTGGAGATCAGCCCTCTGTCATATGTGGGGTTAGTGAACATTTATTCCCATTCTGTGGGCTGCCTTTTTGTCTTGCTGACTGTGGTGTCCTTTGACTTACATAAGCTTCTCAGTCTCAGGAGTTCCCATTTATTAATTGTTGATCTCACTGTCTGTGCTACTGGTGTTATGTTCAGGAAGCTGTCTCCTGTACCAATTCTTTCAAGGTTATCACCCACTTTCTCTTCTAAGAGGTTCAGTGTGGCTGGATTTATGTTGTGGTCTTTGATCCATTTGGACTCAAGTTTTGTGCATGACTATAGATATGGATTGATCCACATTCTACATGCCAGAATCCAGTTATGCATGCACCATTTGTGGAAGATGCTTTCTTTTTTCCATTGCACATTTTTATCTTCTTTGTCAAAGATCAGATGCTCATATGAATGTGGGTTAATATCAGGGTTTCAATTCGATTCCATTGGTCTACCTGTCTATTTTTGTGCCAATACAAAGCTGTTTTCAGGACTAACGCTCTATAATAGAGCTTGAAGTCAGGGATGGTGATGCCTCCGGACGTTGCCTTGTTGAATAGGGTTGTTTTGGCTATCCTGGGTCTTTTGTTTTTCCATACAAAATTGATTATTGTTCTTTCAAGGTCTGTGAAGAATTGTGCTGGGATTTTAATGGGGATTGCATTGAATCTGTAGATTTCTTTTGGCAGGATTGAAATATTTACTACATTGATCCTACCTATCCAAGAGCATGGGAGATCTTTTCACATTCTGAGGGCTTCTTTAATTTCTTTCTTTAAAGACTCAAAATTCTTGCAATAAAGATCTTTCACTTGTTTGGTTAGCATTACCCCCAAGGTATTTTATGTTGTTTGTGGCAATTGTAAAGGGCGATGTTTCTCTGATTTCTTTCTCAGCCCTTTTATCATCTGTATATAGTAGGGCTACTGATTTTATTGAGTTGATCTTGTAGCCTGCCACTTTGCTGAAGGCGTTAATCAGCTGTAAGAGTTCCCAGGGTCATTTATGTAGACTAGCATATCATCTGCAAATAGTGAAAGTTTGACGTCTTCCTTTCCAATTTGTATCCCCTTGATCTCCTTTCGTTGTCATATGGCTCTGGCTAGAACATCAAGTACAATATTGAAAAATGTATGGAGAGAGAGGACAGCCTTTTCTTGTTCCTGATTTTAGCAGAATTGCATTGATTTTCTGACCATTTAGTTTGATGTTGACTGTTGGTTCGCTGTATATAGCTTTTATTATGTTTAGGTATGTTCCTGTTATCCCAGATCTCGCCAACACCTTTATCATTGAAAGACCCTGGCCCAGTCTAAACAGGGAGCTGAGGCTTATGGAAAATTCCGTTCCCCCACAGCTGCATAGTCATTGCCTATCAGAAGGGAGCTCAGCCCAAGGACACAGGCTGCCGGGTGTCAAACAAGATATCTGCGGGGCGGCCGGATGGCCAGCTCAGCAAGGTTAAACAAACACAGAGATATCTGCGGGGCGGCCGGATGGCCAGCTCAGCAAGGTTGAGCAAACACAGAGACCTATTGTTCCTCAGATAGGGCCAAGACTTGAGTTCCAAGAAAAACCTCAATTGCCCAATCAGGGTCCTGTTACTAGGCTTCTCGCTTCTGTACCGCGCTTTTTGCTATAAAAGAATCCCCGAGTCCCCAGCT